GAGACGGGGTTTCACCATGCTGACCAGGATGGTCTCGATCTCTTGACCTCGTGATCCACCCGCCTCGGCCTCCCAAAGTGCTGGGATTACAGGCTTGAGCCACCGCGCCCGGCCTACTTCATGTTTTTCTAAAGTTAAATTGACTGCCTTTTTTTTTTTGTGGCTTAAATTTATTTAAGATAGAATCTTAATGTCTTAAAAAAAAAAATAGGCCAGGCACAGTGGCTCACACCTATAACCCTAGCACTTTGGGAGGCCGAGGTGGGTGGATCATGAGGTCAAGTGTTCAAGACCAGCCCAACCAACATGAAACCCTGTCTCTATTAAAAATACCAAAAGTAGTTGAGCGTGACGGCATGTGCCTGGAATCCCAGCTACGTGAGAGGCTGAGGTGGGAGAATTGCTTGAACCTGGGAAGTGGAGGTTGCAGTGAGCTGAGATCGTACCACTGCACTCCAGCCTGGGTGACAGAGTGAGATTAAATCTCAGAAAAAAAAAAAAAAATAGAGCCAGGGTCTCACCTGTTGCCCAGGCTGGAGTGCAGTGGTACAGTCGTAGCTCACTGCAACCTCAAACTCCTGGGTTCAAGTGATCCTCCCACCTAAGCTTCTGAGCCTGAGTAGCTTGGGCTACAGGCACATGCCACCACGCACAGCTCTATTTTTTTTGTAGAATTGGAGTCTCATTATGTTACCTAGGCTGGTCTCAAACTGCTGCCCTCAAGTCATCCTCCCTCTTTGCCCTCCCCAAAGTACTTGGATTACACTCGTGAGGCATCCCACCTGGCCTAATGTCACTATTATAAATGGAAAATACAATAAAAATAAACAACAGAGAAAAAAGGCTAGATAATTCAATTGTAGCCAGATACCGTTCTCTGACAAAGATTCTCAACCTGAGATCTGTTCACTCTTTTAAAAAAGGGAGAAGAACAAATGGTATAAAAGACCAAAGATATACTCACCTCAAATGCTGACTTTCTCTTGGCCGTGGTCAGGATAAACAGCATTGAAAGGTGAATGGCTTTTCTACTGTGTAGTTCCAGGTTTAACACTGGGATCTGGTCTCTCCTAAGGCAGTGGTTCTCCCTCAGGGTGAGTTTGTCCCTCTGAGGACATGTGGCAATATCTAGGGACTTTTTTTTTTTTTTTTTTGAGGTGGAGTCTCACCCTATCACCCAGGCTGTAGTGCAGTGGTGCAGTCTCTGCTCACTGCAGCCTCCACCTCCCAGGTTCAAGCGATTTTCCTGCCTCAGCCTCCCAGGTAGATGGGATTACAGGCACCTGCCACCACAACCAGCTAATTTTTGCATTTCTTAGTAGAGACAGGGTTCACCATGTTGGCCAGGCTGGTCTTAAACTCCTGACCTCAGGTAATCTGCCCACCTTGGCCTCCCAAAGTGCTGGGATTATAGGTGTGAGCCACAGTGCCTGGCCCTCGGGCCATGTTTGGTGGTCAAAACTTAGTTGATGCTGCTGGCATCTTGTTGGTAGAGGTCAGGGATGCAGTTAAATATCCTACCAAGCATGGGACAGTCCCTGTCACAAAGAATGACCCAGCTCTGATGTCTGGTGCAGAGGCTGAGAAGCCTTGACCACAGATGATTTCTGTTACCGGTCATATCTGTCTCTTACTTTTCTGGTCTGGCTTGAACAATCTCAGGGGCGGGAACCGCCTTGCTTGGGAAGGAAGGTGCGATGGCTTGCACTGTGGCGGTGGAAGAGAGCATAGCACATCACTACAACAACCAGATCAGGACGTTGATGGAGGAGGACCCTGAAAAATACGAGGAACTTCTTCAGGTATCTGCCCATGCTCTAGAACAGGGCTGCTCAAGGAGGCAAAGGGCAGACAGCAGTTGGGTAAGAGGAAAACATTCGAGATTGTTAGGGAATGATAAGGTTTAGAGGCCCACTCAGTTTAAAGGTGAGTAAACTGAGGACCAGAGAGGCGAATCCATCTGCCCTGGTCATACAGCACAGACAGAGCTGGGGCTAGAACCTTTGTCTCCTTTGTGTTTTTTTTCTTTTTATTTAGAGATGGGGTCTTGCTCTGTTGCCCAGACTGGAGTACAGTGGCACAGTTATAGCTCACTACATCCTCAAACTCTTGGGTTCAAGTGATCCTCCCGCCTCAGCCTCCCGAATAGCTGGGACTACAGGTACATGCCACCATGCCCAGCTACTTTTTTTTTTTAAGAGATGGAGTCTTACTATGTTTTCCAGGCTGGTCTGAAACTTCCGGGCTCAAGGGATCCTCTCTCCTCGGCCTCCCAAAGTGCTGGAATTATAGGCACAAGCCACCACATCTGGCCAGAACACTTGTCTCTTGAGCCCTGGTCTGTTGACTTCTTTTTTTTATTTTTAATTTTTAAAATTTTTAGTAGAGATAGATTCTGTGTTGCCCAGGTTGGTCTTGAACTCCTGGGCTCAGGTGATCCTCCTGCCTTGGCCTCCCAAAGTGCTGAGATTACAGGTGTGAGCCACACCACCCGGTGCTGTTCACTTCTTTTTTTTTTGAGACGGAGTCTTGCTCTGTCGCCCAGGCTGGAGTGCAGTGTGCAGTGTCGGCTCACTGCAGCCTCCGCCTCCCGAGTTCCAGCGATTCTGCCTCAGCCTCCTGGGTAGCTGGGATTACAGGCATGCACCACTATACCCAACTAATTTTTGTATTTTTAGCAGAAACGGGGTTTTACCATATTGGTCAGGCTGGTCTCAAACTCCTGACCTCAGGTGATCCCCCTGCCTCAGCCTCCCAAAGTACTGGAATCATAGGCGTGAGCTACCATGCCTGGCCCACTTCTTTAACACTGGTAGATTCTAAGCAGATGGTGTGAGCAGGAACCCTTTAGATTCAATAAATGAATTAATAGATATCCTGAGATAATTTTCCACAGCAAATAAGGGAACTGTTTAATTTTTTAGAGTCTAAATCTGAGATTGGCAAACTATGACCTGTGGCCAGCTACCTGTTTCTTTAAACTTTTTTGTTTTTTGAGACGGAGTCTTGCTGTGTCACCAGGCTGAAGTGCAGTGACACGATCTTGGCTCACCACAACCTCCACCTCCCAGGTTCAAGCGATTCTCCTCTCTCAGTCTCCCGAGTACCTGGGATTACAGGCGCGCACCACCATGCCCAGCTAATTTTTGTATTTTTCGTAGAGACGGGGTTTAACCGTGTTGGCCAGGGTGGTCTCGAGCTCTTGACCTTGTGATCCGCCCACCTCAGCCTTCCAAAGTGCTGGGATTACAGGCGTGAGCCACCATGCCTAGCCTTTAAATAAACTTTTTTTTTTTTTTTTGAGACGGAGTTTCGCTCTTGTTACCCAGGCTGGAGTGCAATGGCGCCATCTCGGCTCACCGCAACCTCCGCCTCCTGGGTTCAAGCAATTCTCCTGCCTCAGCCTCCTGAGTATCTGGGATTACAGGCACGCACCACCATGCCCAGCTAATGTTTTGTAGTTTTAGTAGAGACGGGGTTTCACCGTTTTGACCAGGATGGTCTCGATCTCTTGACCTCGTGATCCACCCGCCTCGGCCTCCCAAAGTGCTGGGATTACAAGCGTGAGCCACCGCGCCCGGCTAAATAAACTTTTATTGTAACACAAGCACACTCATTTATTTGCATGTTTCTGGCTGTTTTTCCTGGCTACAGTGGCAGAGTTGGGCAGCTGGGACAAAGTATTTACTCTCTGACCCTTTATAGGAAAAGCTGGCCTCCCCGTCTTAGGCTCTTCTAAGAGGCTTCAAAATGAAATGGAACAGCAGGACAGCTGGAAGGCTAACTTGTTTCGGCGTCTTTTTATTTAACCAGGTGATTAAGAAATTTCGAGATGAAGAAATTGAGCACCATGACATAGGCCTTGACAACGATGCAGAATTGGTAGGCCGATTGTTACCTGTTCTGCTTTGGGGCTCCTTATTGGGGAGGGAGGCTGAGGGGGCAGGAGGTTTCTGTTCCCAGAAAAATAAATTTTAAGCGACAGCCCAAGGGAGAGAAAACCAATGACGTTGCTTTAGAAAAAGCAAGCAAGCAAGCGCATTATTGCTCCTGATTGAGAATCTCTTCTTGCTTTATCCCTTTTCCTTTTCCCCAGGAGCTTTTTTTTTTTTCTTTGAGACAGAGTTTTGCTCTGTTGCCCATGCTGGAGTGCTGTGGTGTGATCTCAGTTCACTTTAGCCTCTGCTTTCTGGGTTCAAGCAATTCTCTTACCTCAGCCTCCTGAGTAGCTGGGATTAGAGGTGCACAGCACCATGTTTGGCTAATTTTTGTATTTTTTATTTTTAGTAGAGACGGAGTTTTTGCCATGTTGGCGAGGCTGGTCTCGAACTCCTGACATCAGGTGATCTGCCTGCTGTGGCCTCCCAGGAGCTTCTTTTCGTTTCCTCTGAGAATCTGGATGACTCCAATGCTTTGGCAGTAGCAGGGGCATTCTGACATTTTGAATAGCTTTCTTTGAAACTAAAACAAATTCTTTCTTAGATTTCTTATACAGAGAAATCAAAACCCTGGCCTGCCAGCCCTGAATCTTACAACTGAAAATAAAGACATAACATGTTTCTTTGTTTGCTTATTGTTTTTAACAGGCTCCAGCATATGCCATCCTGAAGAGTGTTATCCAGGCTGGTTGCAAAGTGGCGATATATTTATCAGAAAGATTGTAAAATGTGTCCAGCTATGCCTATCTATAAAAGATGATAATTTACCAAGTGACATTTGCAGAGAAACAAATGTACAGGTATCACTGTGCTTTTTTTTTTTTTTTTCTTAACATAACATGGAGTATGAATCACTGTACTTTTGTACAGTGTGAATTTTGTTAATAAATTATAAGGTGTCTTTTCTTTTTTTAAATCAATAAAACTCTCCAGTGTTGATTTTTCTCTGTGTTGTTTTTTGCCATGAGACTGACAGGTCACCAGCCTTGTTCAGATTACAGCAAACGAAGCTGGGCCTTCTGTGGTCTCATACTTAAGTTTTGTTTTATATACATGTTTTTCTTTTACATACATGTATATGTATATTGTTGGAGACAGGGTCTCACTCTTTTTCCAGGCTGGGTCACAACTCACTGCAGCCTCGAACTCCCAGCCTCAAGCAATTCCCTCACCTCAGCCTTTCAAATAGCTGGGACTATAGATGTGCACTACCACACCTGGCTAATTTTTTCTATTTTTTTTATAGAGGCAGAATCTCACTGTGTTGCCAGGCTGGTCTCTAACTCCTGGGTTCAGCAGTCCTCTTTCCACCTCCCAAAGTGCTGGGATTATAGTCATGAGCCACTTCACCAGGCTCATTTTCTCCTGAAATGTCAAGGACAAATCATTAATAATGAGCAGAAATTTTTAGGGGAAAAACAATTTGGTTTACAGATAACAAAAGGTAATTGGAAACATGAGAGTATTTATGATTGGCCAAGCAGAACTGTGAAGTCCATCAAGTGAGTCAAAGATCGTCATCATTACTGTTGAGTTGTGGGTGATATGGGTGGGAGAGTGCTGCAGTCTGAATGTTTGTGTCTCCCCAGAATTCATATGATGAAATCTTCACCCTCAAGTTGATAGAAGGTGGAGCCTTTGGGAAGTATAAGATATGAGGGTGGAGCCCTCATGAATGGGATTAGTGCCTTATAAAAGGCCCCAGAGAGATTCCTCATACTCTCCACAGTGTGAGACTTCAAGGGGCCTGGTCTCTGAGGAAGTGGACTCTTCACAAGCACAAATCAACCAGCACTTTGATCATGGACTTCCCAGTCTCTAGGACTGTGAGCAATAAATGTTTGACGTTTATAAGCCACCCAGATTGTGGCATTTTGTTATAGCAGCCTGAACAGACTAAGATAGGGTGTTGCCTCCATCAAAGAATATACTAACTTGTGGATTATTTGTGAAATTGAATTACAGTCATTTCCGTAAGGTCTTTTACTGCTCCTTCCCCCACAAAAAAAAAAACAAAGCAAAACTGATTCAAAATGTCATACTTTAATGAAACATTTTATAATTTGCAAATTTTTAAGTAATTCATGAAAAATCTTGATCAGTGGATCTCCTCTCTAGCTGCTCATTAGAATTTCCTGTGGAGATTAAATTTTTTGTTTGTTTGTGGATCAAGAGTTCTGACTTGTTTAGGGTAGGGTTCAGGATCAGAGGGTTTCTGAAGTTCCCGGGTGATTCTGCGGTGAGTTGGGGCTGCCAGTCCCTGAGCTAGATTATAAAATGCTTCTGGGAAAGAACCATATTTTAGGAATTTGCCTTCCAAATCAGCACCTGATGACTTGGCGGGGCTTGCCCCACCACGGTCTGGCTTTGAAGGGCAGTGGATGTCAGGATCATTTGGATTAATCTTCTGCCACCTCTTTCTTTTCCTCAACCAAGAGTGAATTTAATTTTATTTAATCTAGTGAAAGTCTACAAATCATAATTGTAATAAATTAAGGCCAGGCATTTGTTTTATATTAGATAAGATAAAGCCAAAGGTTTGAACAAGTTGTAGATGGTTTGTAAACATTAATCTTGTAAAATAAATTCTCTGTGAACATATTTATTAAATTCAAAAGGGTATTTGGTTTTTCTGTAAATTGAACCTTGGAATAAAAGCACAACAAGCTTTTCTTAAAGCACTGATCTGCTCTTTTACAAGAATTTGTAAAGGGTTATAAAAGGTTTATAAGGATCTCACTTCATGGTCAAACTGGTTAAGATTGGATAGATTTATCTATAAGGTTTTATTAAAAATTGGGGATGACGTTGTTAGTAGATTGATGCAAGGGTGTAATTTGACTCTTGAACAAGATTTTCATGTAATAGTCAAGGATAATGAAAGATTTTTGTTTGCCTTGTGAATAAACTACCAAAAAAAGAAGGGAAAGGAAAGAGACAAATTGTTAGGAAAGTTGTCTTCCCTCTTACTGAGTAAAGGTTGTGTGCCTTTTTTTTTTTTTTTTTTTTGAGACGGAGTCTCACCCTTGTTACCCAGGCTGGAGTGCAATGGCGCCATCTCGGCGAGTCTCACCCTTGTTACCCAGGCTGGAGTGCAATGGCGCCATCTCGGCTCACCGCAACCTCCGCCTCCCGGGTTCTGGCAATTCTCCTGCCTCAACCTCCTGAGTAGCTGGGATTACAGGCATGCGCCGCCATGCCCAGCTAATGTTTTGTATTTTTAGTAGAGACGGGGTTTCACCATGTTGACCAGGATGGTCTCGATCTCTTGACCTCGTGATCCACCCGCCTCGGGCTCCCAAAGTGCTGGGATTACAGGCTTGAGCCACCGCGCCCGGCTGTGTGCCTTTTAAAAAAGTTTTTGAGTCATCATTTTGTCTAATGGTAACCTGTAATTCTGTTTTAATAATATCAAGTGTTTTAAACCTTTAACATGTTTGGTAGGCTTCCCCAAATCAAATTTTAGCTTCAAGGTTGTCTTTTTTGACCCCTAACTTTTGGATGCTCCAGAAGTCTCCTGAATTATTTGACATGTTTAATTACATGGAATTGCCAAAATAAAAATAATGTTTAATTTTCTTCAGGTTACATTTTAGTGAATAACATTAATATGCGTTCCAAAATTATGTGAGATTTCTAAAATTATACTGAGTATATGCTATCAATTATAATTAGGTTTATTAAGTTATTGTAAACCACAGAAATAACCAAATTTGTCAATTATGTTTTCGACTGTGACTACCCAAAGACAGTTTTTGCATTCACAGACAATTGTAGTCTTGTTTTGATTCTCTTCAAAGGATGGTTTATAATCAGCTATAGAACTTTGACAGGTGCTCTTAAATGCAGGTTTCTGATATCTTTGGAGATTGTGATATTAGGATAAAGGAAAAACATTCAGGACTCATGACTAGTTGAAATGTTCCTGAATATCAAGCAGAACAAGAGTTAACTGGGCTGAACTAATAGAAAACAAGTAATCTGTTTAACTTTTTGCTTAACACTTTGCTCATCTTCTGTGTTTCAGAGTCAAGAAAACTTTTATTTTGAGCTATTTATAACTTTTAACAATTGAGTAAGGTATACTGCTGTGAACCAAATTTGGGGCATATTTATTTCTCTCTGCTGGTTTCTCTAGAATTTGGAAACTATTTGTGAGTATTCTCATGGCAATGTAGTTATTTGCATCAGTGCAACAAGAATCCATTTTCTTTTGCAACAGGACACAATTGGAAAAACTGTTTTACCAGTTTCTGATAGAAGGGTGTGCTTCCCTTTAAGGAATCAAGCTTGACTTGCAGAGCCAAAAAAAAAAAAGCTTCTTAGAAAAATTGGCCTCATACCTCATCTACACACTCCTTGTACAGGGCTCCTAACCTGTAATGAGTAAAGAATGTCACTTTCTAACAGGCCCAGGAGCCCCAAGTTATCTTGGGACCTCAAAAAGAGAGAAATTTACTCAACTCATAGGTATTTGAAGGTAGAAACCCATTCCTGGGCTTGGCTTTGAAAAGTCTTTCCTGAGATTCCTTATGGAACAGAATTCCATCAGAACCAGTTTTAAAAGCATATATGAAAAATAATTATTCTTGCTGTACTTTATGCAAATAATCAGGCCAAGTAAAAGACTAAAGTTTATTTTGCAAACAACTCACGATTTAACAAAAATGTGGACTGGAGAGAAAAATTATGTTTCAAAACTCATCAGACTTGTCATTAAATTCTAGTCTCATTAATTGTTTTTGTCTGTATTTTAGACTAATCCTGCTTATTCCTGTGAACCAACCAGTGATCTCTGGCTGCAGCTCAGAAGAAACAAAAGGGATAGGTAATATAAAAATCTGAATCAGTATTCTAGTTCTGGGCAGCTATCCTGCAAATCCTGCCAGGTGACAGGGGAAAATGGGGTGCCCATAACCCGGAGATTGCTTTGGGAAAATAAGACCAGGGGAGCTAACCAAAGCCCAGCTCCATGCGCCCCAATTTTAGCAAAACAACCTGTAGCCACAAGTTATCTGGGCATGTTGGCAGCCTCAGGATTTTCGAGTTGTCCTTACTCCCTTGTTTCCTTTTAACACATGTCTTCTAATAACCTAGTTTGTCTCTTCTCACCTAGAGGTCATCAAACTCCAAATGGTCATGCAGTTGGAATCTTAAGACGATGGCCCCTTTTACCAGGGACCCTTAGGCCTCTGAGTGAGCTCTGACTGCTGTTTTCCCAAAACAGCACCCCCTGTCAGCAGGGAGCAGTTAAGAGTGATCATTGTCCTTATCCTAATGGCAGTAAGATGTACCTTTTGAGAGGGGAGAATGATAGCAGCAGGAGGCAGTCAAATGCCCAGGCAGAAAGGGGTGGGTCCCTGGTGAAACCCGACCTTCAAACCAAAGACAGTTTAAAGCCTGAAAGCCAAGCTACAAGTCTGGTAAATCCACAGACTGGACTGAGAACCTGTCTTCCCGTTTGGTGGGATTGATCTCTACCCTTCACTTATTTTACATACACCTACCCGTCCTTAATTGTTTTTTTACACTGTTGTACCCAACTTTGAGTGGTGCCTTTGTTTTTACCCTTTTTTGCATACTCAGAAACCAATCAGCATGCACTCCCCCATTCTGAGCCCATAAAAGCCCTGGACCCAGCCACACTGGGGGAGAGACCACCCAACATTAGGTGGGGGACCACCCTCATGTCCCCTGTCTGCTGAGAGCTGTTCCTTCACTCAGTGAAATTCTTCTTTGCCCTCCTCACTTTTCGATTGTCAGCATAACCTCATCCTTCTTGGATGTGGGATAAGAACTTGGGAACTGCCAAATGCAGGTACGAGTTGTAACACAACCGGGCTGGAGCACACCTGGCCCAGCCACAGGCTGAGCCCATGTGCAAGTCAGGTGCAGCCAGTGGACCACGTGGGTGGGGCGCCTCCTGCGGCAGGTCTGGGGCCAAGTGAGGCCTGGGCTGGGGGGGCATCACCATCGTGGAGTTCCCCGGTTGGCATAGTGGCTGAGAAAAATCCTGCATCAAAACCTTGCTGATAAGAATGAAAAATAGTAAAGGCATTTCAGGAAACAGCCTGGTAGTTCCTCAGTTAAACAGGTAACATAGGATACAGCAACTCCTTTCTTGAGTGTTAACCCAATAGAAATGAAAACATGGGGCCGGGCGCGGTGGCTCAAGCCTGTAATCCCAGCACTTTGGGAGGCCGAGGCGGGTGGATCACGAGGTCAAGAGATCGAGACTATCCTGGTCAACATGGTGAAACCCCGTCTCTACTAAAAATACAAAAAATTAGCTGGGCATGGTGG